CCGTCCACCTTTACTCTTTTCTTTACAATAAGGCAGTGAAGCATCGGTGTTGAACACTGATGTCATGCTGTCGACGATGATGGTGATGATGAAGAGTGGCTGCTCGGTCACCTAGCAGGTGACCTCCCCTGGGGTGATGGAACACAACCCCTAGAGGTCAACACGCCCGCTCTCGTTAGAATCCAGCGACGATTGTACGTTTTACTTTTGGAGTCAGGTATCATCGATCAGGCGGCTGTGTGCACCAAACGGCAAGGCGTTCGTTCCATTTTTAAGACATTAACTGCTAGCAAAAATTGGAAACCAAAATTGCGCACACAACGAGCCACCGCCTTACTTTCTTGATGGTAGGTTCATTTGCCACACCTGCTTCATTGATTTGCCATATTAGTCCCTTGATTAAGACCGATTCAGATCAGGACTGTGAGATTGGGTTTGAAATGGATAACTGTTGAGACATCAGCCCTGATTCCCGACAACAACTATTCAAGATGCCCCCCGCTCAGAAAAAAAGACCGGAATGTCAAACCCGCGGATTGGCATGGCTCATAATTCGATGCCATAAATGACTGAAGAATACGACTGTTTCGGAGCGAGTCCTAAACGAGGCGTCTTCTCCAAAATGAGACAGATATGTCTCAAAAGAGATGGGTCAAAAGCAGTAGGTTTCTTGCGGAGCACATCATCAGTTACTACCTAAAATGGAAATTTAATTAGAAGCCTTGCTTGGGGGGGGGGGGGACAAACAGTGCACCAAATCTTGACAAGACAGCTGTTCCCTTATGGGCATGATACCTTGGGAACCAGCTTTTTTGGTGGGTTTTTAAAAGAAACTTTTAATGACAAAGGCCACCCTTAAAAGAGACAACTCATGCTTCCTTTGTTCATGTAGTACGCCCAGCAATAATTTTGCAAGCTTGGAGACGAAACTTGATACTGAGGTGGGTTAATCGAACCTCATCATCGACAGAATGACATCGGTGTTCAACACTGATGCGTCGCTCCCGCACAGCCATGAAAGCCTTATTGTGAAAATAATAATAACGTGGACGGGGAAGGGACTTAGTGCTGGTTTACTACTATTATAGTCATGTATTTTTGAAGAACATGGTCACAAACATACAAAGTGAATGCAAGCGACGAATGCCGAAGGGTAACAGGAGAATATGAGAGAAAAGATAGAAACGTCTCATTCGAGTTCATGCCACCAACAGTTACAACCAACAGTCAGATGAGATAAATCCCAACGTAGGTAGAAATTTTGGTATGGAAACACGTGCAAAGACCAACAATCGAAGAAAGAACAAACGGTGTTGAATGCTCTTCAAGGCGCGGTGGGTGCTATCACAGTCAAGACTCGCACATCAGGCACAAAGTGTCCGTCATACTGGGTCTGGTGTGAGACTAAATGGCAAAAATGTACACTCAACGCCATGTACCACGCATAAAAGTACGCAGAGAGCCTACAATGGCTAGCAAACACAAGTCACAGACTGTGACCTTAGAAAGTCCCAGTCCAAGGTCACTACCCCTGCAGACACTCATTCAGGCAATCTAAAATAAAAGCTAACAACAAGAACGCCATTGACATCGACTAGCAACGATATCACGCGGTTCCCATCCTGGAAGGCGAGTGCGCTGACGGCACTCGGGCTTTTCGCAATCTATTTCACACACCCCAGCAAGGTTAATCAAACACTAAGAGATTGAAAAAAGCGGGATAGCCATGAGCGACGGCTCAGACTGCTTGCAGTTTTACTGCAGCCGCAATCGCTGACGTCTGTATTCTGAAATACAACTTCAAGCAGTTACACTCATCTAACCGGTAATCTAATCCAGTTGGCTGGGCGGGTTTCAGACAGTTTCAATACGACACAACACATCAGTACTAGAAGCGAGTCAGTAACTACCATGAGCGTGGGAGACATCAACATCAGTGTTGACATTCATGCTTCACTGCCGTACGACCACAAAGTTATACAGGAGAGTGGTTAAGGGAGAGGAGTTGGTGCTGGCCTAACACATGCACTCAGTGGTGGCTACACCTCTAAGCGTTCAATCAGACAACCTGGAGGGAAACTGACGGCAGGAACGCCACTAAAATCCATTGACTGACGTTTCTTGGAATGTCTCCAACCAAGCGCAGAGGTGTTACGGGTATTCCATTCAACAATACCTA